TAAATATTTTTAGGTTAAAACGTTCATAAAATTAAATTAGGATAATCTATATAAATTTTTTTTTTAAGTTACTTTAAGAAAGAAGTTATCTTAAATTCATTCTTTAATAATCTCAGGCTAAATATTTAACCTAGAAGGGTTGGAGGAAAAAAATTGTTTCTAGGTTAAAACCTATATTTTCTGGGCTAAAAATTTTAGGTTTTAATCTAAGAGTTGGAGATGGTTTCAGCGGTGCTTAAAATCAAAGTGCTTAATGGAACAAAGCTCATGAGCCATTACGACGCAGATTCATAAAGTGATCACTTCCATCTTTTGTGCAAATCCAAAATTCAATTCCTTGTATACATTGTATACTTTTGTATTTCAAGAAAGCATTTGCATTCATTTTTGTGAAAATTTGGGAGTTGAGACTGAGAGCAACTTAAGCCAATAGTGTAACCAAAAAGCACTTTTACAAAAAGAAGATCCGAAGTTGCATCATGGTTTGATGGATTTGGAGCCAAACAACAATGGAGAATCTCATATATGTGTGTGCGCGTGTGTTTTGGAAAGTGCTGTTGAGGACTTGAGAGCTAGGGTTCTTTGGGTTTCCTAAGATAAATTGCTATCCATGTTGATCGTATAAGAATAGTGCTCGCTGTACAATTTATGTTTACAAATCTTATTTATATTTCGAATTTTATATCATAAATACTATCTTAAATCATATGATATACAACGGTCATGGTCCATATGGCAGGTATGTAGGTAGCTCTATAACCCGCCACAATCAGCTCATGGAAAAAAGCTCGGGTTCAAAAGTGTGATTCGAGTTAGAGGGTCGGTTTGAATGATCTAAAATGAAATCAATATATTTGTATCACATTCATTTTTGCCGACCTACTGTGAATAACCTAAAATATAACTGATTGATCCAATAAAAGATGATTGATACAATTTCCCAAAGAAAGGTAATCATATTTATGAGATGTTTTTTTTTTATTTTCATGAACATTATTCTAACATTTAAAAAGAACATGATCAAATAAAGAAATCATATCCTTGAGGGGAACATGGACATTGAGGAATGCTCGGTGTGATAATGGATAATCGATGCATGAACCAGACATGCCTCTCATATCCTATCCATTTTTTTAAACACAAAATCTTCTGGAAAATCACTGAACGCTTCAAATTTTATATACACACATATTTGTAGAGGTAGTGTTGCCAATGCCGGAATACGATCCTATCCTGATCCTCTTTATGAGGATCTTAGGGATATGTTCATTATATCCATTCATCAGTTTATTATACGGTTATAAATTATTTTGAATTTTGTATTTATAATTGAACACAAACAGTATATAACGAAAGCTGACCATATTATGTACGATGTACAATAAACGTCTAAGATGAATTGATTCCTAAAATTCTCACAAGGAAGATCCGGAGAGGATCCTTATCCGCCAATGGCATGAACATTAGTACTACTCCATCCTTAGAGGGTCCCTCTCCTTTCTAGCTAATTTCTTATACTTTTCTCCAATTCTTTCTCCCTTCCTTTATAACCTTTTCAATTAATCTAGCATTTCAAAGCCAATTATTGTACAAGGACATATCAAATATGATGTTATACTGTAGATCTGAGCATATATAAAGCTTTGTTAAAACACAATTTAAGATTATTGACCTGTGTCTTATTAGATTTAAAATATTAGATTTTATGGTAATATAGATTAACAGTTAATATAATAGAGATTAACAATGGATCCACATGCATCTTTACTAAAACTTTTAAGATCAATAAGTGAGCTAGAGAAAAGATTACGGAAAAAATTCAAGATTAATTTTGATAACTTCACTAAATTAAAATGCTTATTTTTTTTTTTGACAAAAGGATATTCTAATCTATTCTAAACAACAAAAAGTGAGATTTGAATCGAACTTGAAGGCAAAAAAAAAAAAAAACAGTGCATTGTTAAGTATCAACTTTAACCAAACTTATTTACATCCAAATTTGCCCATTGTTACTCAGTTTTAATTACTACTTTGTCTTGAACAAAAACATTTTTATTGGGATTCATCCATAGAAAATTTGACTGGAAACTACTAGTCTAGATTTTAGTGGTTCAAAATGAAGGAAGAACGAAAACCTAGAGAGACACGCATATAATATTTCAATCTCTTCCAACCCAAGGAAACGAGAAATTAGCAAATTTAATATCCATATGTGGACCAAATTGCTAATATTAAAGTTGTAATGGTAGGGACATAACACACTCCAAGACATATATAAACAACAAATTAATTATAATTAATATCCATATGTGGACCAAATTGCTAATATTAATATTGTTTGGTCAGGGTTGACTACATCCATCCCTATCCCTATCCTCTGGGATCTCCTTTCATTTTCTTAACCAAAACCCAACATGATCTCTCCGGATCTTTTGATGAGGATTTTGGAAATCTGTGAATCGTGTTTGTTCATCGTACATCGTACGATTAGTATTTGTCAAGTATTGCTTGCATTTAATTTTAAATAAAAATATTTAAAATGATTTATGACAGCACAATATATGATGAACGGACACGATTATTCCAAGGATCCTCACAAAGAGGATCCGGTGAGGATTCGGATTCAACCAAAACAACCTAAAAAGATCGGTCAAAGATTATAAAATTTTAAAACCCTAAGGGCCCGTTTGGTAGACTGGATGAGATGATTGAATTGGCAATGACTGGTAACTCATATACGAATATATGTTAGATAATCCACTCTATTGTGGATTCATGACTCATCATGTCCAATCATGTCTATTTTATATTTTGACATAACAAACAACAGACTGGACTCAAATTCATTTTAGTTGATCATAATCTATCCTATCTAGCCCACCAAATGGCGACCTAAAAATGTTACCAAACACAACCAGTGCTTTTTTGCTTGTTGGACTCTCTTTCTCGACGTGCATGTGGGAGTTGTTAGCAAAATTAACCTAGAAAGATATTTGAATCTGGGGAGGGGTATTATTACCCTTGTGACCTAAGATAACGAAAGTAAAGAAAAAAGGAATCTCACATACTATACATTTAAACAGTCCCGTTCACCTGATCCTTATGATTCAAAAAAAGGGTAATCACTTACTAGTGTTCGAAATTTTTTCGATAGTTTTGATATTTTTGTAGATATACTTGAAAAATTAGAAAAAGATATGAAAAAGATATGAAAATGAGGGTGAAGTTTAAACTTTATCTTATATCGGAGAAACTGTTAAGTTTAAGCTAAAATTAATAGATTTTGTTGATATTTCCAACATATTAGTTAAATATCAAGAAAACTTTTATATTTCGTCCAAACCAATGTTTGACATTCTCTAAAGTTTCATTTTAAATTTTCATCATTCTAACCGATATCGACATCAATATTTATACAAATTTGTATACCAATATTTCTACGGATGCCCATATTTTAAACCCTTTACTACTTCATCTTAATCTAACAAAGGAGAAAAGCAAGTGTTCTTTCATCTTTTGTTATTTTACATTTCCATCTACCATTTAATTAATATTAAACGACAGGTAATTACAATTTTCTTAGCTCATACATTCTAAAAGAAGAAAAGATGAAATGAATAATAAGAAAAAGAAAGTTGGGTACATCTAGTATTTTAAATTGGGATGCAACAGAGATTGTGGATCCCGCAAGCATGAAAGTTGAAAGATATTAGCGCAAAGACAAGAAGCCTCCTCCCCCACCCACCACCCTCACATGATGCCCTAATTTTGTATAAATGATAGCCAGTCCCCCCTAAACATTATCCTACCGGACGAGGACTGCACATGGCTTTTGGAGTTGAACCTATCGGTGTTCTGCTAAATTATGTTTTTGCTCTACACGCAAAATTCAAAACCTCACTTACTTGTTACATATTGTTTGAGAGCTATTGCTTTGTCTCCAATTTTCATTAAATTGAATAAATAAAGAAAATTAACGAACGTAATTAAAGACGAGAGTGCTGAATATGAAAAGGGGAGTACGGAAACACTCTCCTAATTTTGTATATGGAATATTGTTTGGCTCGTTAGATGTAACAAGGGGTTTCTAATCATTGTAATTAACACAAACAAAATTAAAATACAGAGTGTAAAACTTTAATTTACTTGCTATTAAAAATGACTTGTTTGAAGTAATGAACAAAGTAATTTCGTTTTAAAGGTAACGATAACTTTCATATGGGTGTGTTGAGTAATATCACTTTTGGGCACATGTGGACGGGAGTGTTGTGGTGGAATAGTGGCATTATGCATAGTGGAATACTCCCCTACTTCTCACGTTACTACTCATCTTTGACAGTTTCTGTCATGGGCATGGCCATGAATTGGTCGGAAGGTCCTTGTACGGAAAAGGTTGAGCAAGGACAAAACTTGTCTATAATTTGAAAAAACAATGTGAATATAGCATATGGGGAAGTTTCTTACCCAATTGTCTTCGGCAATTGGACTGTCAATCTAGATCATTGAAGAAGTAGATTGCTTTGTGAATTCCTTATTTCGAGATTAGATTGTCAATCTGAATCGTTAAAAATTACGACAAATAAGCCAAATGATTCGGCACAATAATTGGTATGTTGAACTAGGTTTTTAAATAGTTTGATGAGAAGTGAAAGAGGTCCAATAACGAACCTTAGCTTCGGTATTGACCTTCCAATTCATGTTTTCTTTTACTAACCGAGGAGAAAAAGTATTGCTAGATCAAGAGCTAATTGTCTTTGCCAATTTATGTTCACTCGATAAAAATTCCAAAGACGAATAATTTCTCGAGCCCCAAAATACATCGTCGAGGGGTAGGGCAGTGAGCTAGTACACTTGACATTCCCATTCTTGTAAAGTACCCCCCAAATTGAAGATATGGTTTTGTGGTACCAATTGGTACGCTTTTAAAAGGCCCTGGCATTGACGATAAGCTGATGAGGATGATGATGCTATAGAATAAGAGACAAACTGGGATCGAACACTTGGTCTCATGATTGCAACAACACAATAATGTAACTTGATGCGGAAGAAAAATGCATCACAAAGGGGAAAGGTGCAAATACTTGTCTGAAATCTCTTCTTCCATTTGATATACATGGTGTATGTACAAGTTACGGTGTGATGATCCAAGCCCTCTAACACTCTCTCAACCTCCGATGAGCGTTTGCTCGCCGGGTTGACATTCTCGAAAGCACACTTCAAATTAGTGAAAAATTTACACTACTGAAAGAAAAATGTCTTCTAGACATTCGTATCACAAAATTTTCCGTCCATTCCGTTTTGAACGGCTTTAACAGCAGCAACTCTGGCGGCAGTGGCAGCTCTGTTCGCGGCCATGACTGCCTTGTTCACTTGTTCATCCACCCGCGGGAGGTTGACAGCATTCTCTGCAGCTTTCCCAGCAGCCTGCAAAATTCCAATAAAAGATAAAGAATGAGCAATGAATGAATTAAGTAAGTGTTAACCATGGAACTGTGATGTGTTTTAAGTACCAGTTTGAATGAGACAATAAAAATACCTGAACAGCTCGAACAACTGCATCGGTTAGCGGCAGAAGAGGGTGCTTAAGGGTGCCACCGTCCCATATACCGCATCTTGCATTGCCATTTCGGAAAGTGTAAACGCCATAGCCTAGATTACGACCTTCGTGCCATGACCCCTCGTAACAATGACCGTTGGCAAAGTGGTAGATGCCGAATCCATGCATTTTGTCTCCGAAGTATTCTCCGGCGTATCTATCTCCATTTCTGCAAACAGAACCGAATTCATCAATTAAATTGCATTGCAGCAAGAAACTTCAATTTGCTCAAGTGAGTTCAAATACGAATTTACTCATAAATGCACAATTAAGAAAACAAATCTCAAAAAGTTGGTTAACAAAATCAAATTCTTGACCATAAAATGTAAGAGCAAAACAGAGACTTGCTCAGATGTATTAAATGATACCCACAAACAACCAACCACACAACAACAACCAGATTTCCCTGTTTCATCCACCATGAACAGTTCAAGTAAAGTAAAAAAGAAAACAACCCAAAATTGGTAACCCAAAACCCAACGCAAATCAAAATCAATGGCCAAACCCCGAAAATCTTCGAAATCCGGAACCGAAGAACTGACCTGAAATGGTAGCAACCGAGGCCGTGCTTGGCGCCATACTTGAATTCACCAACATAGCAGCTGCCATCGGAGCAAGTCTGCACTCCGACGCCGTGGCTCTGCCCATTGCACCACTCCCCTGCATACGAATCCCCCGCCGAGAATCTATAAACCCCATAACCATGCCTCAATCCTTGCCTGTATTGCCCCTTGTATCTGCTCCCTCTCGCCCAGCCCTCAATCCCGTAGCCGTCGTATCGGCCGTCGATCCAATCCCCCTCGTATCTGCCGTTGACGAAGTAATTATAGACCCCACTGCCATTGCACTGCCCATTGTGAAATTCACCCTCGTAGAAATCCCCATTGCTGTAGAATTCGACCCCTTCCCTTAAGATCTCCTTCTCCATCCGGGTCTTGTCCGGGTTCGAGTCCGACCCGATGAACCACTGGACCGGCTTCGTGCTGCTGTTGGTCTTATAGAACCGGTGGAAGCGGCACCACTTCGCATTCTCGTCCCAGGAGTGCTTGAGGACGGAGACGCTGTGGTTGATCAGACCCTTGTTCTTGTTCGCCAAGAAAAGCGTGACCGCGAAGAAGGCCAGCGCCAGAAGGAGGTTTTCGGAGGTGGGTATTTCTTCGCGGCGGAGGTAGAAGAAGAAGAAGAAGCCGGAGAAGCTGAAGAGGATGAAGAGTGTGATGGCGGCCATCGGTAGGTGCTGGTGGCTGATCCGGGTAGACCCGGATTTATGGTGGGTCAGCGCGGGATTGTAATTCTTGGGCCTCAGCTCTTCTTCATCGTCGAGGTGGTGGTGGTTTTCGTTGGCGGCGGCGACGTCCTCCTCCGTGACGGAGTTGAGGCTGTGAATGGAGGATCGAATCGTCGGCGACGACCGCAGCAGCGACGACTGGGTCCTCGTGAGGTTCGCCTGGCTTTTCTGACCGTCCATTTAGAAAACCGACTGATAGACTGGTTCGACACCAACGTCAGATTCTTATAACTAACGTGGCTGGTATTATCGAGCACACCGGCGGCATCTCGCGCGCAAAACACTCACGGCGCACATTAACTTACCACTGGATCCACCGCCGGCGCAATTTAGCACCAACTGAAAAACAACCAACTGTTCTGAAGATTCAAAACCGAGACGAGAGAGAGAGAGAAAGAGAGAGAGAGAGAGAAGGAGGAGAGAGAGAGGGTGAGTCTGGAGTTTTGCCTGCAGAACCGGACCGGCTTCGAGCCTTTTGATTTTATTGATGCTGCATTTTGGAGAGAGAGGGAATGATATTTAATATGAGCCGTCAGATTCTCATCAGACGGTCGAGGTCGATGATGAGGTATGGGCCGTTGGATTAGACTGGTTTTGGGATAGTCCCGATCTTGACGGGACAGATGTGGTCGTCGGATCTTAGATTCGGCTTCCGCTCCTTTTCATTACACTGTGCAGGCCGGCACGTGCCACCTCCACGTCACCATCCTTCGGAGCTGGGTTCACCTGTTACGCAATTTCTCATCAAAATATAGTGTTAGAAACTTTAAGTTAAATCAAACAATAAGTCAGCAATGATAAATTGATACTGAATTATCTAGAATTAAATCTAAAATATCTTATTGACAAGTAAAAAAAAATTAAAATTAAACTATAAAGTGACCTTTCGATATTTTTAATTAACTTAATTGATTGATTGATATTAATTCTTGGAGATGCAAAGTACTGGTTCAAGTGTGCCAAGTGAGAGTTTCTTGGGGTATCACTTTGCATAGAAAATAAAGTAAATTAATGGTGAGATCTGCCACAACTCACCGGGAAAAATAGTAAAATATTTATATTTATTTATATTTAAGCATGCAAATATGCAGTGCAAGTGGGGGCCACCCTCCCATATTTTTTGGAAAATTTCCCAAAACCATGTCTAATAATTTGTCAATTTCTCATGCATTATGATGCTTCGTGTTGTAATTTGTATACTGAACAGGCTTCTGCATGTGAGAATTGAGCACCATTTTGCACCTACCATATGCCAAAAACAACACCAATAATATTACACATTAATGTGAAATTTGCTAGCTACTTTTCAAACATTCGTTTTCACTTTTTTTTTTTTTAAGATGGTACGTAGTATCGACAAATAAATGTTGACAAAGAACAGACACACGTACAATTAGTGAGTCATAAATTTGAATATTTGGAATTCGAATGTTTACGTATGCGAGCAATTAAATTTACCTGACATGGGTGATTCCAGATGAATTGTATGTATTCAACGATCATTTTAAGATGTGTTCTCGATGAAGCGTGGTGCTTGAAGACTTTCTTTCTTGAAAATGTATAAAAACAACAACTTTTCTTTGATTTCGTACCTGTTCTCCTACCATTCTTTATATAGAGAGAAATAACAATGGGATACTAATTCAGACCTACAACCTGTAAAACAACCAAGAGATTACAAATCAAAGTTAATTAGAGATTTCACAGAAATGTTTACATTTCAAATCCGTGGCTAAGCCGCGGAGTGTCCCTTATGGCAGATAAGTGTGAGGCAAGGCACTTATCTGCCCTACCAATTTCCGGAGTGTCCCTTATGGAAATGGCAGATAAGTACCTCGCATCAATCAACAAATAAACCATAAATCACAATAAGGCATAAGGGTTAAGGATAGGAACCAATCCAGTAAGGAAATAAAATAAAAATAAAGTCCAAATGATCCAATTGAAAAAAAAAGAGAGACATAAATCTTCCCGCAAAAATTGTCATGTTTACTATGTTGTATTCTCGCGCCTTACGTTAAACTTACTGTACGATAAATTTTGATTATATACATAGCCGACGTAACGAACTAGACAAACACAAAAATGAGTTGTCACATATTGCATAGATATATAAAAAAATAAAAACACGGCGTTAAAAATTTGACCTAAATTCTATGTTCAAGCACAATTTCAAATTTTATAGTTGCATGCACAGCCGAACCTTTTCGTGTTCTTTACCAAGTGACAAAGTAATAAATTATGTTTAATACTTGGGTCCTCACCGGGGAGGACCTAACATACTGATCCAGTTAAATATAGCCACGTGTAATTTATAAAAGCTCTCTAAACCTATAACCAAACGACCAACAATAACCTTGCATCTATAACCAACACAGCCAGTTTCTCCTTCAAGCCCATGCACCCCCCCCCCCCAAAACAAGTCTTAGGTCTGGCATTTTGAACTCAACCCATTAACCCGACCCGACCTATTAATATTTGTATTTGAATGGATGCTTAACAAGTCGGGTCGTTAACGGATGAATTCGTTAACAACCTGTTAAATAACGGGTCACTTTAGATCAACCTGTTAGACCCGTTAATAGATGATATTTTAGTAATTTTAGTAAAATCTTAATAACAAAAAATAAACTTTATGCAAAAAAAATAATAAAAATTGTTAACGGGTGAAACGGATAACTCGTTAGCGTAACAAATCGGATTCGGATGACCCGTTAACTTAACGGGTCAGGTTCAACCGACACAAACCCAATACACCCGACCTGTTTACAGGTCTACCCAGTCCCAGATCTCATCCCGTCCCTCTCACTTCCGTCGAACTTTGCTCTGTCGATCTCCAACCAAATTTTGGGAACTTTAACGAAAAGCACCCGGTACTGTTCACTTTAACGAAACCACATTTTTATACTAAAAAGTCAATCATGGTACTATTCACTTTACCCTTTATTTTGTCCTTATCATTAAAACTCAAAGTTTTCAAGCCATTTTCATTAGTTTTCCAACAAATTTTTTCATCAATCTCTCTCCTCCGTCTACCTCATCCTAATCCCTATCTTCTTAGGGTGACCTCACCCCGAATCCCTCTTTTCTCCATCAACCTCATCCCAATCCCCTCCTCCAACCCGTTGCTCCATCCACTGTAGCAGCTCTCCAAGACAATGAATACAGAGATTATGAATATTAAATTTTTTGATCTCAAAAATCGATCTTTGGCCTTTTTGATTAATAATATTTACAGAATGATTTTGAATAAATACAGAGGAAAGAGAGGGACTGAAGGTGCGTCTCCAGAGAAGAGAGGACTGGAAGCGGGTCTCCGGAGAAGAGAGGGATTCAGGGTCAGGTCTCCCGGAGAAGAGAGACTTGTTGGAGTTGGAGAATAATGAAGACCGGGTGTGTTTGGTCACGTGTTTAAAAGAACAGTGGCGTGTTTGGTTATAAGAATAGCAGAGTGCGGGGTGAAACTTGAAAGGACAAGTGTTTTAAAATGGTTGGTCGATACAAGAAGTTAGTGAAATTGGGTTCTCCCCGGTGAGGACCCAAGTATTATCCATAAATTATAGCTTTGTTGACCAAATGAAATAGAAATATCGTTATTTTACGAAACCAAACGTCATCCCTTGGTATATTTGCTTTTCCTTAGTCCATGTATAATCATTTAAGCAGATCTTCGTTTTCAAAATTTGTAGGCTACCTGCACCACAAACAACACCCGAAAGTTAACATCGAAAAATATCATCTAAGTTGATAGCGCTTTACCGGGATAGCAAAAAATAATTATGTCTATCTATAACAGTGCAAATTCAATTTTCATTGATTCTTTTTCTCTCGTACAACTAATTATTTAAATCACTAATGCTATTGTTTGTCAAAAAAAAAAAAAATCTCATGTAATCAACTATAAATGTTACTGTAACTGGTGTCATGCTAATTACATGTATGGTTTTGATGTAATCTCGCATAAATAATATAATTATGTGAGACATATTGTCAAATTACTTTTAGTAAGGTGTAGTAATAGTAGAACAACAAGTGGATACTTAAGAAGTCATGCGTACCTATCACTTCACTTGTATATAGTTTTGGACAATTACTGAATTTAATAAATACTTTGTAACTTAAAAACGATAATGTGTCTTTTATTTTTTGGAGAACAAAAAAAAAGGATAATGTTAAGTGTTCTTGCTTTTCTCTTGCAGTTCCTTCTCAAGTTTGATTTGGCTCCCAAGCATAGCTTCATAAGCTGCCTCAAGTCTCGATATGTCATTTTCCTGAGCACAGATCAAGGCCTTTGTCTAAGTATTGGCTTGGAAAAAGCAAAGGTTAAAAGACAGAAGAAAAGAAAAGAAGAAAGCAATACCAAAAGTTAGAGGAAAGAAAACCAAATATTGGCTTTGATAACGCTTCTCCTTAATGGCCTCCTAAATTGCGACCTCTCTGAGATCAGTAGGGGAGATAGATGAGAGGACCAAGGCTTGAGTATGTTGGGCATTGTGCAAGCTGCTCGCGTCCTAGGGAAGTGGCTTAAGTTGAAGAGAGGCGTGATTGTTAGGCTCAAAGCTTTATTAAAAACCCTTCAGAAATGGTTGGCGGAGTAGAAAGGCCTTCAACATTTCTTTCAAGTGGAGATAGAGCGCAAAAGAATTCGAATGAATGACTTCTGATCCATGAATCGATAGCCAAGGTCTAGGAATCTGGACGCTGGGATCGTTCATCTTGGTCTGTTACAACTATTAGAAGAACTTGGCTCGTCAAATCTTCAACAAGACTTTTTAGCCTCCCAAAAGTGGTGTCTCCCCCTCTTCACCACCTGCTGACGATGGATGATGGACACCTTCCTCTATTGAAAAAGTGAGATCGATGGTGACTGGAGCCTTGTCCCGATTGCCACTATGGCTACCAAGCAGCTTAGACTTCTTTTTCGAAATATTCGGACGAACCTCATTGGGAATTGTTTCTTCAGACTTCTTCCTCTTCTCTTTCTCGGGTTTAGAAGCGTTTTTGGTATCTTTAGGATCTGGGGGCAGTCTAGCCATTTTCGCACCAACCCATTCTGGGTTAAAGATGGGATGATTTGAGCAAATGTCTGTAATGACATTCCTCCCATGTGCTCTCTCCTGTTCATGAGCTATGAGCCATTTCCAACTCTGGTGGGCGGAATGAATGATTTTGAAAGCCCTATCAATAAGTTTAGGTGATAAAGGCCCAAAGACTTGACCTTGATTTTCCGAACTTGCTTAACCGGTTTGTTGGGAACCCTAGCTTGATTTATGTCTCATTCCTAGCTCCTATCAACGAGAAGGATGTCAATGTACCAATCATTGTCTTGACCAGGGAAACCAGTGTTGTAAGGCTTTCATCTAAGACTAACTCGAGTTTGAAGGTAGTATCGAGTGTTCGTGTTCCTCCGTAGTGCATAAAGGACAAGGAATCAAGGAGTCCCAACTCAACCCGTACCATTCATTCAAACAT